AATTTTATATCTTTAATCACTTCATACTTTCTATATCATAATGTCATTACTGAAATATAATACAATATTGGAAAACAACACAAATTGTTGACAAGATGAAAAGTTTTAGTGGTTTTTATAATTTAGTTGATCTCAATGTTGATTCAATACATTCTATCAACATTGAGGTTCACAATTCAGAAAATACTATTTAAAAAATAAACCAACCAATGGATATCAAATATTCAGAATATTTGTAAAATTGAGATTTACTACATTGGAAGTAAATTAACACACAGGCATCAGGTTGAAAATCTTTTACTATTGTCTCATTGCTTCTAAGTAAATAACAGAAATTTGAGTTATTTAAGGAAATTGATTTCATTATAAAGTTTTATATCATTTTTAAGAATACTTTATGATGGGATTAAAAATTAAGTGAATTCACATTTTAATATATAATATACAGTTTACTTTTAAATATTAGAAAAATATGAAGCATTACAAAATTCTTAAACAAAAAAATACCTGATATCAATGTGTTAAAGTCTGGAATTTCAGTACATAGTATGTGATGATGCAAAAGCTTTTAAAAACTAGTTTAATCACTTTAAGTACAAATATTAAAGTAAAAATACTAGGAATTCAAAAATTTTAAATTAGCAAAAGAAATGATAATCAAAATGATGAAATTTTTAAGAAAAATAAAAATAGTAAGACATGAACAAATGCTAAATGATTAATTTTTAAAAATTTCAGTATTTAATAAATTTAACAATTTGGTGGCTAAACTTTAACTTTTATTTATTTAAAAATACAGAAAATGACTATCAATAAACTAAGTTGTTATAATCTATTCATGGCTGGGTAAAAATAATAGGTAATAAAAATGTGATCAATGATTAAATCAGTTGTTTCATATTATCAGAATATTACTTATACTTTATTAAAGTAATACCTTAAAAATATAAAAAAAATTTTATAAACATGCAATATTATTCTTCTCATTATTTATACATTTTCTTTATAAAAAAACTACATTAATAATAAATACAATTAATAAAGAAATGAATAAGTCAAATATGTGTATATACATACATACATACATATTTGACTTATTCATTTCTTCATTAATTCATGAAACTATTTCATATATATGTATATATATATATGAAATAGTTTATGTTAAACTGTTAAATATTTTCACTGACACAATTAAGCCTGGTACTCACGTGCGGCAACGAACGACGGAAATCGTCGACGGAAACAGTTGCCGTTCCGTCGTCTTTCCGTGTGGCGTGTACTCACATGCGGAAATTACCCTACAATTGAAACGCGCCATCTGCCAGCCGTAAGTATAAACAAGCTTCTACAATAGGTAGGCCACGTGCCAGTAGTCGTAAATGGCGTCTACCGGGATTGCTTTGTTATATCAATTAAACTTTTCAAGTTTGCCTTCGATCTTATAGCAAATAAAATAAATCTCAAAAACGAATAATTTGGATAGGAAAAATATTCTAAATCATCGAAAGTTAGGAATATCGAATACTTTCGTCGCCGAATTACGCTTACTTCATTCCCAATACTTTACACAATAAGTAAGTCTATTTAACATTAATATTTAAATCGGATAGTAATATAGAGTATAAATGAAATATATAAGCGTATTAGTGTACAAATAAAGCTTTTTAGCTTGTCGACCGCCATAGTTCAAATGCTATCGTCCCACGTGATCTTTATGACGACATTGCTAAACGGTCTTCCTATTGGTCTAATTTTTACCATGCCGCTTTCCGTCGCGGTAAAAGTTGAAAATTTTCAACTTCGTATTCCGTCGACGTCGACGGCAAAAGTGACGTCATTTTGACGTTCCGTCGACCGTTTCCGTTGTCCGTTGCCGCATGTGGGTACCAGGCTTTATGATAAAAAGTTAGTAAAGGTTTTTATAAATTAAAAATTAACTTATATAAACTGAAAAATAATAAGTACATTTGCACTTATCCAAACTTTCTTCAAATTAATATACAAACTAGTAATTCAAATGTAGAACATTCAGATTCAAAATAAATTACGATATTGCTTGTTTTATATACAGTAATACCTTGGTTTTCATTGACTTTATTTATCATTGATTTTTTCCACAAAAAATTTGTCTCAGTTTTTGTCAGCGTGACCACGTGATCTCACTGCTAATTTTGTGAAATCAAAGGGCAACCCATGCTTTTTCCTGCTCACTGTGGCATTGTTTCTCATTGTGTGAACATTACCCTGCATGTCTAGCCAAACAATTCCATTACTTTCCTTTCCTTTTAACTCCATCATGGGGCCAAAGAAAGTTTCCAGAGCCAGCAGCCCTTTGAAGAAGGCCAGGAACATGATCGAGTGGAAGAAAATCATTGAAAAAATACAAGAGCAGCATTAAGATTATTGAAATCGGTTGCATGTACGTGGAGGGACAAAAAAAAAAAATGAATTTTTTGCATAAAAACTTTATTTATTAACTTTTTTTACAAAATTCCTTCAGTCACCTTCAAAGTATTTGCCATTAGATGCACTGCACTTGTAAAGTCTTTTTCCCCCACTGTTTGAAGCATCTCTGGAACTCTTCAAACTTGATATCATCCAGTACCCTTAGTGAAGTTGTTTTTACCGCCTCCACATCATCAAAATGCTTCCCTTTTAGATTTTTCTTCATTCTCAGAAACAGAAAAAAGTCACACAAAGTTAAGTCTGGTGAATATGGAGGGTGGGGAACAACAGGACATCCCGGAGAGACCAAACAGTGGGTCACTTGTAAGGCTGTGTGTGTGGGGGTGTTGTGATGAAGGAACCAATCATTTGATTGCCAAAGTTCCACGTGTTTCCTTCGCACATCTTCTCACAGATGTCTTAAAACTTTTTTGGCAGATATTTTCAATGTTTTCATCATTTCGAGATGTTGAAGGACACCCAGAATTTCACAGGTGGAACAAAATAACAGTAAGAGAAACTACAAACTGATGCTGTCTGCACAGCTGTTTCATGAAGGTCCATCTAGCAGGAGAACTCTCTACTACATCTACGAATGGCAGTGCGCTCTCAGTTTGGTTTTTTTTTTTTTGGTCCCCCTCATATGGGAAATCACCATCCACAATAAGTTCCATTGTGGTGAAAAAAAGGAAGCAATAAATGAGACTAATATAGCAAAAGGCGTGAATGTGCTAACATAACAGAGATCACAAATAATTGAAGATGTCGAACAGTTATTATTAATTTGGATCAATCAAAAACAGTTATATGGCAATTCTGTTTCAGAGGCCATTATATTAATCTTTTATATTCATTTCATATTAATTTCATATTGTTTTTAGTATTAAACACTATATTTATTCTCTAAAAAAATGTGTTTTTGGTATGTATTTTGGAGTGTCTAGAACAAATTAATTGGATTTACGTTGATTCATATGGAAATAATTGCCTCAGTTTTCATCAGTTTTGGATTTTGCCGACTGTTTTCGAAAGGATTATCAACAAAAACTGAGGTATCACTGTATTTAAATATATAAAAACAATTTCTCACTGTTTCCAGCAGAAAATTTTGCTAACAACCTGAAGGTGATTTAACTTTAATAATAAAAATGAAAGTACTTATTATTTTCCATTTTTATGAGTAACTTTTCTTAAAAAAAATTATTGTCAATAAATGTGTCAGTTAAAACATTAAATAAAATGACAGTTTTATATAATATCTAAGAATTTCAAAAATGTATAAATAAGTTTTAAAAAACAATAGAAAAAAAATGGAAAAACTGCAAAAGCCAGAACAAAGAATCAACAAATAATAACAAGCATATAAATTACACTAAACTTTTACTATAGAAATTAAATATAATTTATATGCTTGTAATTATTTGTCAATCCTTTGTTTTGACTGTATACTAGAAAATACAGATATAATATATCACACAAATAAATCAAGAAAAATATTCTTATATGTAAAATAATTAATAGTATAAACAATAAAAATCACCATTTTTCACTATCTTTGAGTATAGAAAAATTTATCATTTGAAATCAGTCCTTGAATGCCAAATTTTTAAATTAAATTTGTCGATAAAAGTAATAATTAATAAATTCAAAAAATAAAAGCATAATTTTAATTATATTTGTAAACATATATACCTATTATTCTTGATTTAAACATTACTGAAATTGTTATAATTTCACAAAAAATTTTAAGAAAAACCTGTACTGTATTACATAAGCAAAACTCTATAGTAGAAAAATAATCTAGATCAAAATCAACTATATTGCTTAAAACAGCAACAATGTAATAATCAACAATTTCAAATAAAAAAATATTACATGCATAGTTAAATCTTTGTTAAAGACAATAATAAACTAATTTAATTGCATATAATTAAAAAACATTATTCTTATATTGAAAACTTTAAAATTTGATAGATCTATCAAAACTAAAATAAATCCTTAACAATGTGTAGCTTGAGATAATTTCATGATGAATAAAACTAACATTAAAATTTTTTTAACTTAAATAATTTATTTTCACTCTCACATTCTTAAAATCATTTCATGTTTTCAGAATATATATTCCACAAAGTAAAATTTCCAGAAAAATTACTAAATTATTACAGTGCTTTAGCCAATAATGGATAGTTTATTGGTTATATTGCACCATCCAATATATCACTTATTTGGTTTGTCTCCCTATATGCACAATATATTGAGAGGGTACTGTAATACTGTATATTTTTTTTTCTGAAATTTAAATTAATCATCTAGCATTTTTTGAATTTAAATACATTTTGTACTAAAAGTGATAATTACTTTAAATGAACACCATATATTATTTTACTACTATTATATATAGTATTTATAATGATTTAATATTTAAACCATATAGTATAAAAAGTTTTTCATTTTAATATAATCATTGTAAATGATAATTTTTTTTATATTTTAATTCATTTCAATATTAATAAAATGTTTAAAATAAACAATTCAAAATTTAATAAACCAACCTCTGTCTTTCCAATTCTGCCAATCGTTCAACTTCGTCCATTTTTTTCATCTTTCTTCTACTTGAACTGTGTAGTCCATCTAATGCATCACTACTGCTACTTGATGAAGATGAACGGGAATGTTTCCTTAAAAAAATTTACTTATTAAATTAATATTTTATTCTAAAAATTTAACAGACAATTTCAGGGTCATGAGCTTATTTTAATTTTTTAAAACTTAAAACATAGTAACTGTTGTCAAATTAGAATCTAGGCATTTATTATAATAAAATCTTGTATTTTCAAAATCAGTAAGCCAGTTCTTAGTTATTAACTCTATCAGTTATATATACATTAACCCCTCATTATATCACTCATTTGGATATAGGCCCATCATATTCTTTTGTCTTCTAAATGTAAATGTGCTTAGCCAATAATGGATAGTTCATTGATTATATTGCATCATCTAATATTACTTATTTGGTTTGTTTCCCTATATGTGCAATATAATAAGGGGATACTATACTACGAAATATTTCTTTTTCTCCATTTCAATAAAGCTGAGAAAAACATGCACATTATTGCTATACACCTTATTATGGGAAACTTGTCCGTTTAAACAGTTCTTTGAGTTAAATTTTCAAGCAATTCTTAAAAATTTTAGACCTTCTTTTATCAAATTAAGACATCATCTCCAATGCTATAGAATAATTTTCCCCAACATATTACAAATAGGAACAGTGAATTAGGAAAATGTATATCTATTTTACATTTTCTAACCAGTTAATACTAAAAATATTGTATCTATTTTAGAATTTTAACTATCAAAAAATCTTTTTAACATCCAAAAAATGCAAAATTTCTTTACAATGACAATGGTCATACAATTTTCTAAAAAAATTACACTGTTCTGTATTAAAATCTTTCCGTGAAAGAAAATATGATTTTTTAATGTATTTTAGTGTGCTGAATATGAATCTGAAGTCCAAAATCTATTACTTACAGTTTTTTTAGATGCCTCTTTTAGACAAATTTTATGTTACTGTTGAATAAAATAAATAATATAAAATTATTATATAATATGCAATCTGAATCATGATTTGGATCTTACAAAAAGAAAGGGTAAACTACTTGCATCATGTCTCCAGCAGTGGAAACTTAAAAAAAAAAAAAAACAAAGTTAAGATTTCCTGTTACAGAAAAAGGAAATCAAGAAATGTGAAATTTTTTTCAATGGAGGACAATCTCATTTTTTGCAACAATATACAGGAAGCCCTTGGTTTACGCTGCAGTTCCGTTCCTACAAAAGCCGGCGCAAATCGAATCGGCGTAAAATGAACCCATATTTACAGTGAGGTATAGGGTTAGGTTCTACATAAGTGAAAAATAAGCTAATAATTTTGTTTATTAATACAATATAATACAAAATACATATAAATTTTTAATTTTTAAAATGTATTTTATCATAAAATAAAGTAAAATGTTTTTATTTAAAAATTTTAGTTTCGAATTTCTTACATTTTTTGGAAAAAAGTATCCATCTTTAATTGTTTATATTTTTGATTTGTTTCATTAAGAATTTCGGAATATAATCGAATATGATGCTCCTTTTTACATTTGCACTTCGCTCCCAACATTGTTTAACTCACAAACTTCATCCGTCAAACTTTCCTTAGTTGAAAAGATATGTTAACCTGACGTAGAGCTATGGACGAGCGAAGACACTGATTGGTTGACCACCGGTCGCCGTAGCGCATATATAAGGTCAGTTTGAGCGGGAAAATTCAAGGTGGCTAAGGAGAGATAAATATCATCTGGCCAATGAGAAGTAGATTTGTCTCACTAACGATAATTTGCGATCGCAGGAAGTGCTATTGTGTCGTCCTGAATGAACTGATATGGGATACATTCATTGGCGCTATGGATTCGGATGCCATTTATTGGACTATCAAGTTTAATATCTTGACTCGTGGGTACCTAAACGTTTAGTATTTTAATATTAATTTAATGCAAATGTATACATACCCAATAATATTAAACAGAAAAAATAAATATATTTAATAAAAATCTTTGTTTTAACGAATATGCAATGTCGCGGCTCGGTAAATACATCAACACTGAAATGAAAATCAGTCTGGCATAGGGAAAATCGGGGAATTACACCTCAAAACAGCGAATTACGCAACGGCGTTATTGTGAATTGGCGTAAACCGAGGGCTACCTGTACTGCATTTGTTGGAGGAGCTCAGCTGTCACAGGATCCTACAGAGTGGAGACTCTATTGAGTCATCAAGTTAAGCCTTAAAGGAGTTTTGCTGCACAATGGCAACAAACATCAATCCATTTTGGTCCCTCATGCTGTTTACATGAAAGAAACTAACAACAACATGAAGATAACACTGGACAAGATAAAATACAATGAGCATAAGTGGAATGTGTGTACTGACCTCAAAGTTGTTTGCAATGCTAACAGGTCTTCAAGAAGGATAAATTAAATTCTGCTGTTTTTTATGTGAATGGAACAGTTGAGCAAGAACCAATTACAAATTGGTTCTTGCTCAACTGTTCCATTCACATAAAAAACAGCAGAACACAGCAATCACACAGCAAACATACAACGTCAGAAGAATATTGCTTTTCCTGCTCTGATGAAGAAAACTAAAATCCTCTTATGTCCTCTTCATATGAAATTGGTTTGATGAAAAACTTTGTGAAAGGTATGGACAGAGAAAAAGAAGCAAAAGTTTTTTCATCTGAGCAATGCAAAAGTAGAGGTGGGAATATTTTTATCCCCAAATAAGATAGCTTTTGAAGGAAAAAGTTAACTCAGTAGAAAGGACAGCATGAGAGACATTCAAAAACATGAGCAAGAAGTTTTTGGGGAATGTATGATCTAACAACTATGAGGAAATCATGGAGAAGCTGGTAACATCCTACTAAACACTAGGTTGCAATATGACACTCAAGATGCATTTCCTGCATTCTCACTTAAGATTTTTTCCCATAAACCTAGGAGCTGTTTCTGATGACCATGGAGAAAGGTTCCATCACACTCTTTCTCAAATGGAAAAGCAGTACAGAAGGTTTACTGTTGGACTCTACAGTGAGAGATTTCAGAAGAATATGAAAGGAAGAAAACATGTCATTAAGTGTGTTCAGTTTTTAAATGTATAGAATTATAAAAAGGAGTAATTATCATACATTTATTTGTATCTAATTAGCAATGTGTCTAGTCAATAAATATGATATTTTGAACAGAAAGTGTTTTCCTTCAAAAAACTTGTTTCTCTCAAAAGTGGTGGGTGTTAGGCCAATTCTGTTGACAGATTCATATTCAGCACCATTGAAACTATAAAAATCAGTAAAAATGTTTGATGGGAACAGAAATAAATTGTTTTTTTCTTTCAGAACAGTTTCAATTAAGAAAGGCACTGATTTTTTGCAAAACAATAAACTTTTTTTTTTAGAGTTTTTGACTGACATTTTCATTATTATTATTTTTTAATGTGGCCATATTATTATGTTTCAAAATATATTTCAACATTAATATTTTTAATTTTATAATAAATCTATAAAAAAATATGAAAAAAATAAAGAAAATAATGGTTATAAAATGATGATAAAACTTTCTATTTAGTTATTTAATTTAATCAAAACAATTCAGAAAAAGTTTTCAAACACAGTTTATTAATTTGCAAATTTCCAAAGCAAAATATTTCAATTTAATTCAAGCCTGCATGAAATTTTATCCATTACATAGAGTTTTGAAATAAAAGTGGGGTTTTCTTTTTTGGTTCTTTTTAAAGCTATGTTTTGGCTTTTCATAAAATATTGAAACTGTGATTCAATAATCAACAACAATTCATCATTACTGAAAGTGCATACCCATGTAAGTATGCAGCAATGTAACAAGTGACTGAATTGATCAAAAACAAAGTAAACAACATTTCAATTTCATTTTTAAAATATGAGATCCCTATATTTTAGCAAATTTCCTCAATTAATGTGTATAGGCTTAGCCAAGATGCTATTCCATATTTTAGGGCTAATGTTGCAATATTATTTTTTATACCACAAATTTTCCTGGGACCACTTTAATTTCCCCAAATCTCATTTGCATGATAGGACATATTCTGCACTTCTGTTTTAGATCAGAAATTTCCTCCAACTATTGAGATGATATAAATCCAAACTTTCACAAACTTAAAAAGCAGAAAAATTACAAAAAAATTTTTTAAGAGCTGGCACAGGCTCCATGAATAGTTTAAAATTATCAAAAGGAATAACTCCACAGTTATTAAAAAAACTATAACTTTGGAGTAAACAAAGTATGCATAAATTTTATAACTAGGATATCACAGACTTTGTTGTAATGTGATAGAAATGAAGCAGAACTGGAAAAAAGAAGCAATCCCTGCACTTGTTAGGCACAAAAGAGGTGATCCTTATATGTGATGGATGCAGACAGGTGAACTTTGCACTTGCTGCCACAAGAGGCGATCCCTGTACCTGCCAGCAATGGGAGACAATCCTTCCACTTGCCAATACAGAGGGATGATCTAAGAACAAAGTAATTTCCATAGATTGTTTTGTTCTTGTGGTTTGTTCATTTTTCACACCTTTTGTTCATTGTGTGCATCTAACATTTTTTGTTAGATGAACACAATGTGTTTTTATTTTTGACCCCTAAATTCAGTCAGGTGCACTTAGTTGCATCAGAGAGTACGTTCATTGTCACTTTAATATCTCTGTATATAAAAAACCTAATTTTATTGGTCACAGATTAATACCCACTGCTCTGTCTAGTCCTGGCTATATTAATCAGGCTATTTTATGCTATAATTAATTATAGTGGGTGATTGGCTAATGAACAGTTCGGATCACAAACAATTTCACAAAAGATTTTTATGTTCGGACAATGAACACCTCACAGAACACAAACAAGAAGCGACGATGCATTTAAGATTTGTAAAATTATATTTATATTTTACTGACATTTATGAATTGTTTATTTTTATTATTTTTATTTATATTTAATTGGAAACATCAGAGATGATTGTATTCCACCCCACCTAATAACAAAAAACAAAACAAAAAAAAAAAATGATCCCCCAATAAAATGATTACAAAATATAAAAGATATAACA